ATGGAGGGATGGCGTGGCGGGGCTGTGGCTGGCTGTCTTGAAAATCATCGTTGTCATACCCTTCAGCGGAGGGCGAAGTGTACGCACAAGCTTCTGATGCAGGGAGCCGGGCTTGGGTGTATTCAGGAGGAGGGGGAGGAGGAGGAGGTGGAGGAAGCTGTGGCAACTGTGGATGGGGCAGGGCAGGGAGGTAATCAGTGGAGGGGAGGTTATAGCCGGTGACATGGGGACTTGGGTACCGGGGAGCCTGTTGGCGGAACACACTAGGGTGTGGGCAATCTCTTCTAAAGTGACCTGGCTGATTACAATTAAAACAGGTCCGGATTGTCGTGATAGTCCGGTCCCGGGAGAAGGGAATCGGTGCAGGCAGTGTCTGGGGTGACTGAGTGTACTGTTGGGGGAGTAACTGAGGAACTTGGTTAGAACCTGCAATTGGTGTGGAGGTAGTGTACATCAGAGGACTGGTTCTTCGCTGTGTGGGTTGCAAAACAGATTCTAAGCCTTTGGCTACCAACAAAAGAGTGTCCAGAGGAATAATTCTATACTCAGGGCGAGCTAAAATTAACCCCTTACGAATGTGTTCCCTAAGACCTGCCACAAAAGCTGCAGATAGCATCTGGGTGTGTGCCTTGTTATAGGTGCTGAATCCTAAGTCTGAAAAAGTCTGAGTCAATCTAGAGTGATACTTTTCAACTGTCTCAAGTTTATCCTCAATTATGTCATTTATGCAAGTAGCCTGATCAGCTAGTTTATCCTGTGCCCAGGCTCGAAGCTGTTCACAGAAAATTTCACCAGAACGAAAATCAGTATCAGAAGTAAGTGGAGCGTCGTTAAAGCTCCGTTCCATAATTGGCCAGTATGCATCCAGCCTTTATTTCACACAAACTTATAAGATCCCGCCAAGCAGCGGAGTATGTTTTACGGATCTGGGCCATCCTGCGGAAAAAGGGCATGGGGTGTTTCTCAGGATCAGGGAGTGAGGTCACAAGGGTAGCAGCTTGGGAAGGGTTGAAGGTAACATACATGGGTGGTGCACCATCTGCTCCATGGTTAATCTGGGTATAACCCTGGGGGATAGAGTGCCGTTGGGGGTGTCTGTTCCCCCCTAGGCGAGGTGAGCCCTGGTCCACCACAACGACCTCCTCGGGTACCACCGGGCCGCGGTGAAGAGTAGTCTCAGGGGTAGCTGTGGCGGGGGCGGCAGGGAGGCCGGTGATAGGAGAGGTAGTTGGGTGGAAACCTGAGGCCTGGGGGGAAGCACCCATCGCATAGGGTTGGTCCGATGTCACAGACACCTCGGACCCAACCACCATGATTGGATAACTAGGACTGGCGGAAGGGACATGAGGAATCAATGCCGTGGAAGGGGCTGTTATGGGGGCCGGTTGAGATGGGCGTGAGAGGTGAGTATTTAGGACATGAGCAAGAGCAGAGATTGGATCGGAAGGCTCGGGGATGCTAGCGGGAGACAAGGAAGGGGTCGGAGGTTCGGGGGGAGGAGGAGGGGGTGGTAAATCAGTGGGAGGCGGCACAGGGATTGCGGAATTAACCAGGGAGGTAACAGCAGAGAAGAGGGCGGATATCGATCTAGACAAGTCATTGGCCGTGGATGGGTCAGGGGTCACCGGGAGAGGGGTCGGAGGGATGGGAACGGGGGACTGTGTCCTAACAACGTAGGTGGAGGGTTGGGACGGCAAACCAGTCGGGGGAGGAGGAGACAACGAGGTAGGGGGGGCCGGGGCTTCGGGAGGAGGTAACACTGGAGAAGGGGTCGGAGGGGTGGTAACAGGGGGTTGGGTCAGGGCGGTGAGGGCAGAGATTAGGGACGGCAAATCGGCCTGAGGGAGGAGGAGGCAACGAGGTAGAGGGGGCCGGGACTTCGGGAGGAGGAGGTAACACTGGAGAAGGGGTTGGAGGGGTGGTAACGGGGGGTTGGGTCAGGGCGGTGAGGGCAGAAATCAGGGACGGCAAATCGGCCGAGGGAGGAGGAGGCAACGAGGTAGAGGGGGCCGGGACTTCGGGAGGAGGTAACACTGGAGAAGGGGTGGCAACAGGGGGTTGGGTCAGGGCGGTGAGGGCAGAGATTAGGGACGGCAAATCGGCCGAGGGAGGAGGAGGCAACGAGGTAGAGGGGGCCGGGGCTTCGGGAGGAGGAGGTAACACTGGAGAAGGGGTTGGAGGAGTGGTAACGGGGGGTTGGGTCAGGGCGGTGAGGGCAGAGATTAGGGACGGCAAATCGGCTGAGGGAGGAGGAGGCAACGAGGTAGAGGGGGCCGGGACTTCGGGAGGAGGAGGTAACACTGGAGAAGGGGTTGGAGGAGTGGTAACGGGGGGTTGGGTCAGGGCGGTGAGGGCAGAGATTAGGGATGGCAAATCGGCCGAGGGAGGAGGAGGCAACGAGGTAGAGGGGGCCGGGACTTCGGGAGGAGGAGGTAACACTGTGTGGATAGCGGGAGGGTCCTGGAGGATGGGAGGGGTGGATAAGGGAGCAGAGGCAAGGGGACCGGGATTAACGGGGTTGGTAGAATGGGCAAGGGTCGGGGGAGTTGGGTGTGTAATAGACGAGGAGGGTGAGGGAGCGGGTGTTGCTAGGGATGGGGTACTTGAGGTGGAAAGGGGATGAGAGGAGGAAGAGGAGAGAACTTCGGTGGGTGAGGCGGGAGTAGTCACGACGGGATCTTGACGAGGATTCGGAGTGGGAACAGGCACTGGGGGAGGCAGCGGAGGACATGGAGGTGGGGGGACTTCAACAGACGTGACGGGAGAATGGTTGATGGAGGGGGCTGGGTCATAGGGGGGTTGGTGCATGGGAGTGGGTGGAAACGAGTGAAGTGGCACTGGGTAATAGTAAGCACCATCCGCACCGAGTACGGGGCACAGGGGGGTGGGAGCTGAAGGCACACCCCCGGGGGGTGGGGTTTGTGCTGTGACGGGGGAAGCTGGGCGGGAATTTACTATTGCGCTCTGGACGCCATCATAGGGCGGTGGTCGCTTGACAATGGAAACAACATCATCATTGTTAACACTCCTATGGTAGACATACACGATTTGCCCCTCAAACTCCAACTCTTCCTCGACCCATCCTTCCCGTTTCAGACCTCTAGCTACCCGATACCAAGCCTCTGCAACCTTTGTGAGTCCACTATCCAACAACAACCCTTCCTTGTCTATGAGTAACTTCCTCCAAAACTCAGGCTGCAATCTCCCATTGGGCAACATCTGGAAGCCACACACTTTAGCAATCTTTTTAAGTTTTAACATTGCATCTTCCCCTGCCCTTTCTTTCACAATGTCACAAGCCAGCAAGCCCTTAGCAGGTCTAGCGTGTTCCTGTCCCATCTTGAGTAAACGAAGCGCGCCACGCGCTAAAGACAGATAAATAGAGGAGGTACAAGGGAAAAAGAATGTCTACAGTGCTCGACTGCCACGAGAACTTGAGCCCCGTGCGTCTTCCCCAAACGTAGACCAGTCACGGAGATCCGCCCACCCGGGGTGGTGGTCACGGACGGGAGCGAATGAGCGTGGGTGACTAACATAGCTCTGGGCAACAGGCACAGGAGAGATAAAGAACAAAGGAGAAAATGAACGTGGCTGCGCTAATGAGAAGACATTTGCAAAAATCACAAACATATAAATGAGCGTAAACTCCGGAATCCAGAACTAACCACACAATACACACACACACCAAGGGTACCCACACTGTAACAACAATTAAACAGAAACCACAGAATGATAGAGAGTAAAATGGCCATGTACATGTTAACACCACTGGTGCCAAATATTCAAAGTATAGCAATCCCCAGCCGTCACCCACCAGGCTGGTCCCGGTATAACACAGGTACCAATGAAAACACCGCAATAATCAAACAAAATCCCAGCCCCACCGGCTGTAACGCGTTCCCTGCCCGCTAGGCAGTCAAGCAAACATATAATCCCAGCCCCACCGGCTGTAATGCGTTCCCTGCCCGCTAGGCAGTCAAGCTAACATAAAATCCCAGCCCCACCGGCTGTAATGCGTTCCCTGCCCGCCAGGCAGTCAAGCTAACATAAAATCCCAGCCCCACCGGCTGTAATGCGTTCCCTGCCCGCCAGGCAGTCAAGCTAACATAAAATCCCAGCCCCACCGGCTGTAATGCGTTCCCTGCCCGCTAGGCAGTCAAGCTAACATAAAATCCCAGCCCCACCGGCTGTAATGCGTTCCCTGCCCGCTAGGCAGTCAAGCAAACATATAAAATGCGTTCCCTGCCCGCTAGGCAGTCAAGCAAACATATAAAATGCGTTCCCTGCCCGCTAGGCAGTCAAGCAAACATATAAAATGCGTTCCCTGCCCGCTAGGCAGTCAAGCAAACCTATAAAATGCGTTCCCTGCCCGCTAGGCAGTCAAGCAAACATAATTTAAAAGAAGGAGAGACACACACACATATAAATGAATACAGGAGGCAGATAGACAATCGACAGGTTCACTTTAAAAGGGCACACCGGATGAGTTAATTACCTGTCTCTAGTAGCCTTCTGGAAGCCGGAAGTGGACTCGGAGACAGACCGACACAAAACAGGAGAACAACACAGGCAACGGCTGTATTATGGAGGTGATCAGGCTCCGCTTGTCCCACTTTCCGGAGGTCCGCTCCGGTCCGTTGGTTTCCGGCCCTCCGAACCGGCCCTCCGGTGGCCCCACGTTAGGCGCCAATTGAAATGGAAAAATCAATCAAGGTATTGATTATTTCTTTGTGTATCTGCCCCTGGCCAAATCAATGAAACAATGCGTACACGCTCCCTAAAGTAATTCACACCAGACACAGGTTCCAGGTTGTTGAATAACTTGAGGAAAGTTTATTCAGAGGGGACGGCAGGTCCCTTTTAAAGCAAAATTACATCATAAGCATTGTCAGAGATAACATAGAATAATACATCAATTATTGGTTAGGTGTTAAGTGGTTGCTTTAATGCTCTGCCTACTGGAGTGATGTCACCGGGACCATGAGGGTCTCCCACGGTTTCCTATACCCACACCCAACAACCCCAGCCTAATACACAGATGGTTCATGTTTGTAATATTTTATATAGTTTTAGGTGTTAATCCAAGAGTATTGAATTATTCGCGAGTATTAAAGTAATTAATTTTGAATATCAAATCAAGGTTCCAGTTTAGGAACAGAGTTTTATTGGGAATTATCCCCATATGTATATGTTAGTGTTTTAATATTCATCCTAACAAGGATTTCTATAGAGTGAGTGCTACTCTCATCCGTACAAAGGCATTCCAAAGGGGTATAATGTAAAACTTCATAGAAGACAGATTGCATAAATTATAAGAGAAGTACATGTTACACAAATTAAGGGTTTAACCTTAATCTCTAATTTAAGTTTTAGCCTAGGTAATTAATTAATGTTGTATTGATCCTTGTGTTTGTATGATTGTAGAGACCGTCCTGGAGTGTTTGTGCCGCCTGATTTCTGGGACTACACACCAATCTCTCTGGCTGACCATGCAATAAGTATTTTGCAATTACGTCTGTTTGGTCATTATCCATGCAGGCCGAAGAAACTGAGATACTTATTTATGAGGACATAAACTTTGCACGCAAGAACCTGGAAAGTCCTGAAGGTGCAGTGCTGTCTAATACCGCTGGTTCTGTAATAACCCTTTCAACCATTGGGGTGTTGCACAGAGCTTTGTGGTGAAAATCCAGCAAACAAGAAGAAGAACTATGTGGAAGCTGACATTGTCTTGTTGTCAGCCATATTGCTACCCTTAGCCATTTTATGGAACAAAATGTCTGGTGTCTAAACTGATTTCTTTATACTCTGTGAAAGACTTATTCTATTTTTCTGAACTATGCTGAACTATTGAACTATTTTTATTTTTGTAGAGTTAGCCAGAGAGAGAGGAAGTGTTAGCTGACCCAGGGATGGATGTACTATGTGTGTTTTTGATATATGTTGAGTGTGCCAGGGATGGATTCCCATGTTTTGAGGAACTGCGTGAGGATATGACTGGTTTTGACTGGACTTTTGGAATAGGGAAATGGTTAAAAATATAGGACGCAAGGTCCTGGTTGTGCAAAAATATAGTTGCTATAAGCCCAAGTTCCATTCTGTCTTAAACATCCATTTTCTATATATCTGTCTGCAAAAGTATTAAGTGGTTTTTGTTTTGTTTTTTTTCTGCTGAGTTTCTGTTTCTTGTAGACCACATGATTGCTTGGGAATGCCATAATGTGGAAATTTCTCTGTCTTGGGAGAATGTTATCCGATGATATGAGCAATATATATTGCTCAAAGAGGGGTAACAATTGTGATTATTGGGGCTCAGTTGGATGGAACACCGGGACAGATTGGGGTTATAAGCCACAGAATGCATTAGATAAAAAGGATACGAATGGGAAGTCCCTCTTGACTAGAATGACCCTAACAAAGCCAGGTACATGTACCTCTATAGGGCAAACTGGGCACTCCATGAAATTTACCTTAAATATTGAAAACCCCAGTCCTGGAGATCAAGGTATTTATATTCTCAGTACCTTTTTAAGAGGAGGTATTGGAGGTAATCGAGGAAAAATCCAGTTAAAAGATATATGGAACTCCTCAAAATGGGAAAGCCTCACCTCTAGACAAACTCTTGTTAATCCTCTAAAGCCCCACATTCAGACCCTTGGTAATATGATGGCCATAGCAGATCCCACGTTTGGAGATACCATAGCGTTAGAAACAGGGTATGCAGATACAAACCTATGGCTGGAATGGATGAGATATAATGCCCATTCCAACAATAGGTCAAACTGTTATGTATGTGGTAGTGCCAGACCTCATCTAGGAACTGTACCTTTACATGTCCCTGATGAGTACTGGGAATGTTTCCTAAGTTTGTTTTCAGGTATCACTGTTAATACTACAGAATGTGAAGAATGGAAAAAGGGTCACCCTATTGGTGAACCCAAGTTTAATTTAAATGATGTTGTCCCAGTATATCCTGGTAATTATACTTGTTTTCAGGGAAATAATAATGGTAAGGTGGGTACACAATTTGATAACTTCTCTTCAGGATTCTGCTCCGCCTACAGTAATATTACCTTAGTGAATCAAAAACAATCTGTGGGAGATGTTTATTGAATATGTGGAGATATGAAAATACGTTCTAGACTCCCCACCCCCTGGAGAGGAGAATGTGCCCCAGCCAAAATAATCATGCCCCTCCATATATTTGGCGACTCTCTCCCTGAAATTAAGGTTGTAACTGATTCCACAAGAAGGAAAAGGGAATCCCCACAAGGTAGTTTCGACCCACATATCTATCTAGATGCCATTGGTATTCCAAGAGGGGTTCCTAATGAATTTAAAGCTAGAGACGAGGTGGCAGCAGGATTTGAATCAATATTTCCCATTATAACAGCTAACAAGAATGTTAACTGGATTAATTATATATATTATAATCAGCAAAGATTTGTAAATTATACACAAGATGCATTACAAGGTCTTGCTGAACAATTACAGGCTACCTCACAAATGACTTTCCAGAATAGAATGGCCCTTGATATGATTTTAGCAGAAAAGGGAGGAGTCTGTAAATTACTTGACTTCGGTGTTTGTTGTACCTATATTCCAGAGAACACTGGCCCTAATGGTAAAGTAACCCTAGCTATAAAGAAATTGGAAGACCTGTCCATAGAAATGAAGAGGAATTCAGGTATTGATCACCCATGGGCAGATATGTTTAAGTTTGACAGTATCCTAGACTGGCTAAAGAATATTGCAATAATTATTGTTATGGTTCTGATCCTTGCTCTACTTGTTTATGCTATTTTCAAGATTATTGTATTCTGCATTTGCAAACATACACGCAACACTGTTCCTGTAAAATCCCCAGCTTGCCATGATGAGTATCTCCAAATGTATACACATAACCGAAGCAATGGTGAACATACTGATACAGATCTATAAGTTTGTGGTACTGGTCAGATGCCTAGTCCTATGCTATGGGAATAGTGGCCGAAGACATAATGAAAGACCTGCAGGATTGGCTAGCAATCCTGAATATACCATGGCAGATGGCTGGTTGTCTGACCAGGACTCCTTAAATAGGGTATGAGCAAGATATTGCTCAAAGAGGGGGAAATGAAGGAATATTGACCCCTTAAGGACACATGACATGTCATGATTCCCTTTTATTCCAGAAATTTGGTCCTTAAGGGGTTAAACAATTAATCTGTCAGTATTTTAGAACTGCTTGCAAAACATAACTGAAAGGAAGTCACAAGCTATGACAGTTTCTATGTATCAGGAAATGCCTAACCACAATGTATATGTAATATTTTGTAAGATTAGATTATTGAATGTAACAGCAGAAACTGCTTCCTCTTTTATGTATCTTGTGTAACCTTTTTGTAACCTTTTTGTAACCTTTTTGTAACCTTTTGTAACCAATATTCGTGACAAATATTGTATAAATACAGAGCATTTTGAATACATTGTCAGAAGATTATGGAAAGCAAAGAGTGTGTGTCTGGTTAATACGCTTCCATAAAAATCTTCCCTGAATATTCAGCTGACAATCGAGGGTTGGAGAATAGTGACCAGAGGGACCGAGTCACCAGAGTAGCAGATTTACCTTTCAGGTAGCAGCTTGGGAAGGGTTGAGGGTAACATACATGGGTGGTGCACCATCCGCTCCATGGTTAATCTGGGTATAACCCTGGGGGATAGAGTGCCGTTGGGGGTGCCTGTTCCCCCCTAAGTGAGGTGAGCCCTGGTCCACCACAACAACCTCCTCGGGCACCACCGGGCCGCGGTGAAGAGTAGTCTCAGGGGTAGCTGTGGCGGGGGCGGCAGGGAGGCCAGTGATAGGAGAGGTAGTTGGGTGGAAACCGGAGGCTTGGGGGGAAACACCCATCGCATAGGGTTGGTCCGATGTCACAGACACCTCGGACCCAACCACCATGATTGGATAACTAGGACTGGCGGAAGGGACATGAGGAATCAATGCCGTGGAAGGGGCTGTTATGGGGGCCCGTTGAGATGGACGTGAGAGGTGAGTATTTAGGACATGAGCAAGAGCAGAGATTGGATCGGAAGGCTCGGGGATGCTAGCGGGAGACAAGGAAGGGGTCGGAGGTTCGGGGGGAGGAGGAGGGGGTGGTAAATCAGTGGGAGGCGGCACAGGGATTGCGGAATTAACCAGGGAGGTAACAGCAGAGAAGAGGGCGGATATCGATCTAGACAAGTCATTGGCCGTGGATGGGTCAGGGGTCACCGGGAGAGGGGTCGGAGGGATGGGAACGGGGGACTGTGTCCTAACAACGTAGGTGGAGGGTTGGGACGGCAAACCAGTCGGGGGAGGAGGAGACAACGAGGTAGGGGGGGCCGGGGCTTCGGGAGGAGGTAACACTGGAGAAGGGGTCGGAGGGGTGGTAACAGGGGGTTGGGTCAGGGCGGTGAGGGCAGAGATTAGGGACGGAAAATCGGCCGAGGGAGGAGGAGGCAACGAGGTAGAGGGGGCCGGGACTTCGGGAGGAGGAGGTAACACTGTGTGGATAGCGGGAGGGTCCTGGAGGATGGGAGGGGTGTCTGTGCATAAGGGAGCAGAGGCAAGGGGACCGGGATTAACGGGCTGGACAAGATTCATGAGAGTGGAGAGTAGGGATGAGGGATCCTTGGAGGAGAAGGGCGAAGGGGAATGAGAAGGAGGGAAGGGCAGAGAGGGTGAAGGGGTAGGGGTCACGGGACAGGTCAATTTCGAAAGGCTAGCGAGAAAAGAGGAAAGGTCTGGGTCTGGGGGTATGGCTGAAGGAGGGTCCCTGGGGGGACAGGGGTCCGGAGGAACGGGGTTGGTAGAATGGGCAAGGGTCGGGGGAGTTGGGTGTGTAATAGACGAGGAGGGTGAGGGATCGGGTGTTGCTAGGGATGGGGTACTTGAGGTGGAAAGGGGATGAGAGGAGGAAGAGGAGAGAACTTCGGTGGGTGAGGCGGGAGTAGTCAGGACGGGATCTTGACGAGGATTCGGAGTGGGAACAGGCACTGGGGGAGGCAGCGGAGGACATGGAGGGGGGGGGCTTCAACAGACGTGACGGGAGAATGGTTGATGGAGGGGGCTGGGTCATAGGGGGGTTGGTGCATGGGAGTGGGTGGGAACGAGTGAAGTGGCACTGGGTAATAGTAAGCACCATCCGCACCGAGTACGGGGCACAGGGGGGTGGGAGCTGAAGGCACACCCCCGGGGGGTGGGGTTTGTGCTGTGACGGGGGAAGCAGGGCGGGAATTTACTATTGCGCTCTGGGCGCCATCATAGGGCGGTGGTCGCGGGACAATGGAAACAACATCATCATTGTTAACACTCCTATGGTAAACATACACGATTTGCCCCTCAAACTCCAACTCTTCCTCGACCCATCCTTCCCGTTTCAGACCTCTAGCTACCCGATACCAAGCCTCTGCAACCTTTGTGAGTCCATTATCCAACAACAACCCTTCCTTGTCTATGAGTAACTTCCTCCAAAACTCAGGCTGCAATCTCCCACTGGGCAACATCTGGAAGCCACACACTTTAGCAATGTTTTTAAGTTTTAACATTGCATCTTCCCCTGCCCTTTCTTTCACAATGTCACAAGCCAGCAAGCCCTTAGCAGGTCTAGCGTGTTCCTGTCCCATCTTGAGTAAACGAAGCGTGCCACGCGCTAAAGACAGATAAATAGAGGAGGTACAAGGGAAAAAGGGAAAAAGAATGTCTACAGTGCTCGACTGCCACGAGAACTTGAGCCCCGTGCGTCTTCCCCAAACGTAGACCAGTCACGGAGATCCGCCCACCCGGGGTGGTGGTCACGGACGGGAGCGAATGAGCGTGGGTGACTAACACAGCTCTGGGCAACAGGCACAGGAGAGATAAAGAACAAAGGAGAAAATGAACGTGGCTGCGCTAATGAGAAGACATTTGCAAAAATCACAAACATATAAATGAGCGTAAACTCCGGAATCCAGAACTAACCACACAATACACACACACACACCAAGGGTACCCACACTGTAACAACAATTAAACAGAAACCACAGAATGATAGAGAGTAAAATGGCCATGTACATGTTAACACCACTGGTGCCAAATATTCAAAGTATAGCAATCCCCAGCCGTCACCCACCAGGCTGGTCCCGGTATAACACAGGTACCAATGAAAACACTGCAATAATCAAACAAAATCCCAGCCCCACCGGCTGTAACGCGTTCCCTGCCCGCTAGGCAGTCAAGCAAACATATAATCCCAGCCCCACCGGCTGTAATGCGTTCCCTGCCCGCTAGGCAGTCAAGCAAACATATAATCCCAGCCCCACCGGCTGTAATGCGTTCCCTGCCCGCTAGGCAGTCAAGCTAACATAAAATCCCAGCCCCACCGGCTGTAATGCGTTCCCTGCCCGCTAGGCAGTCAAGCTAACATAAAATCCCAGCCCCACCGGCTGTAATGCGTTCCCTGCCCGCTAGGCAGTCAAGCTAACATAAAATCCCAGCCCCACCGGCTGTAATGCGTTCCCTGCCCGCTAGGCAGTCAAGCTAACATAAAATCCCAGCCCCACCGGCTGTAATGCGTTCCCTGCCCGCTAGGCAGTCAAGCTAACATAAAATCCCAAAATGCGTTCCCTGCCCGCTAGGCAGTCAAGCAAACATATAAAATGCGTTCCCTGCCCGCTAGGCAGTCAAGCAAACATATTTTAAAAGGAGAGACACACACACATATAAATGAATACAGGAGGCAGATAGACAATCGACAGGTTCACTTTAAAAGGGCACACCGGATGAGTTAATTACCTGTCTCTAGTAGCCTTCTGGAAGCCGGAAGTGGACTCGGAGACAGACCGACACAAAACAGGAGAACAACACAGGCAACGGCTGTATTATGGAGGTGATCAGGCTCCGCTTGTCCCACTTTCCGGAGGTCCGCTCCGGTCCGTTGGTTCCGGCCCTCCGAACCGGCTCTCCGGTGGGCCCCACGTTGGGCGCCAATTGAAATGGAAAAATCAATCAAAGTATTGATTATTTCTTTGTGTATCTGCCCCTGGCCAAATCAGTGAAACAATGCGTGCACGCTCCCTGAAGTAATTCACACCAGACACAGGTTCCAGGTTGTTGAATAACTTGAGGAAAGTTTATTCAGAGGGGACGGCAGGTCCCTTTTAAAGCAAAATTACATCATAAGCATTGTCAGAGATAACATAGAACAATACATCAATTATTGGTTAGGTGCTAAGTGGTTGCTCTAATGCTCTGCCTACTGAAGTGATGTCACCGGCACCATGAGTGTCTCCCACGGTTTCCCGGCGCCATCTTGCTGCACGAGGTAGTTAGTTGGTGTTAAGAAGGGGAGGGGGGGGGAAGGAGGGTTTAGAAGCTTCTAGCAGCCATTTTGATTAAAACATGTGTGCTCAGCTTTATATATGATATATCGTGGAATGAGTAAATAGACATTTTCACTAACTAGGAAATATGTGTAGACCTTATTTCCACAACACACGCCAAGAACAGAAAGCACTGATAGAACCAC